TACAGTATTCAATGATGTAAGTATCAAATGTTCGCATTGGGAAGTCAACAATTTGTACCGGATTGGTAAAAGTTATCAAGGAGTAAATGATAAGGAGACTACACCTAGAACTGTTGTGGAATTTGTGACATCATTGAAAAAAATGTATTCATTTCTGCGAGGAAACTGATAAAAAATTCAGGTATTTAGATAAATGACAACTTATCTAGTGAATCTTACAATCTTTTTAGCAGCCAAGCTGAAATATGGTAAGCAAGCTCTATGGCCAAGTAATGGAAGAATACTTGCTAGACGTGACAACGATGTAATGATGATCAGAGAATTAACTGATATGGACTAGAAATATTTGCTTACAAAAAACCTGTTTGAATAGTCATACTTTTTTCCTATCTGTGAATTCTTTTAACTAAGGTCAGTTCATACTAGACAAATAATTTGGCCTTGTTATTATTCATTTTATGTGTATATTTAGACTTTGCCTTTCTTCACATCAAATTGTTAAACTGTTTTGGATGAAAATTAAATATCCACTACTTATTGAATACATTCAATCGATAAGAGCTTATGCAACGACGATCTGATGGTATGCCCACTTAAGGATGACCTAACACTAAGTGTAATGAGTTTTATAGAAGTTGTATGAATGATGATTAAGATATTGTTATTGCAGTCGAGACATGGCTGCAAGAAGGATTTCAAGATGCAGAATTGGTGGATGTTAGAATCTACGATTTAGTAAGGTCAGATCGAAATTTAGAATTGAATGAGAAATCTATAGGGGGTGGTGTTTTTATCGCAGTAACGAAAGACTATAAAATTTCAAGTATAACAAAGTATAGTAAATCGTTCGAAGCACTCATATTAAAAAATGAGGTAATGCCTGTAAATATACCATCTGTTGTATTTACATACCTCCTGGTAGTTCAAGTAATGATACAAATTACTATTCGAACTTCTGGAGGTCCATATAGTACTGGTAGTACCATATAGATGACACGTATATATTTGGTGATTTCAATATACCCAGCCTTACAGGTATTAACTCGAATATTAATATTCCTAATGAAATAAGCGAAGCTTTCCAAAATTTTATAGATTTTAATGGGTTGAACTGTATAATAACCTTACAAATTGTCATGGAAAAACTTCAGATATGGTAATTACCTCAGAGAATAAATATACAAAGTGTGGTGTCAAGAGGTGTCTTTTGTTGAGGAAGATATGCATTATTCTGCTCTATACAATAATATCACAGTAACATCCACCAAAAAAGTGAATATACCAAATTTAGAGTCATTATTCAACTTTAAAAAGGTAGACTTTCTTAGGTTAGGCGAATTAATTAGGGAAGCAGATTGGAGAAGAGTTATAGAAGAGAAAGCAGATATGAACGTGGCTTTCCATGGATTTTATAATATTTGGTATAACGTAGTGAATATTTATGTGCCTTAATTTGTTGTCTGTATGAACTCAAAGAGTTTTCCGGTGTGATTTAATAAGGAAATTAAAGACTTATTGAGGGAAAAAGCGCGATAGAGGAAACTAAGAAAAATATCTGACTTTTATGATATACATTATGAAGAAATAAGAGAAAAATCAAAAATTCTAAATAAAATGAACGAAAACAAATATATAAAAAAATTGGAATATTCCCTTGGCGTTCTGATGTAAAGGATTTGGGAATTACTTATGACCATCCACTGTCCTTTTCTACACATGTTGAAAATATAGCTGAGTCTGCAAACCGACTGCTAGGTTATTTAATCACACTATCATTTGATTTTACTAATGTACATTTCTTTAAAATTTTATATTATAGTTTAGTAAGGCCGAAACTAGAATTTGATGTAATAATTTGGCATGGAGGATACCATATTATTTCAAAGAATATAAGTTATAAAAATTGAAAGTAATATTTGAACATTAGGTGATTTCAGCATTTTGGGGAGAAAAAGAAGTGGAAAAGTGATAATATATATGCTACATATGGAAATAATGAATGGACAGAAAATAACAGTAAGAAGAAAAGTATCTTCTCTATAATTCAGTGTTCATATAGAAGTATTTGTTTCGAAAGAATTTTTTTTCTTTCGTGTAATTCAATGTTTATATGGAAGTATCTGTTTCAGAAAGGGTTTTTCTTCCAGTTTGTGTCTGAAAGTTACTTCTTTGCATGATCTACACATCCATGTATGGAGTTACCTATTTTCAAATTGATTACTTCCTTCCTTTCTTTGGAAGATTCTCTCATTCATTTTTTTGTATCAGATGGAGTAGTAGAAAGCCAAAAACTTTCTTTCCCAAAAATTAATCACTCCTAAAAATATAACCCTTTCTATTCAATCAACTGAATTATTTTTTGGAATTATTACTGCAAATTTTCTCTTTACTTCGATACAAATTTTACAACTGTCCGCCCTCTCGTTTGTTCAATAACGAACGAAAAATAGTAGTATTATTGTGAAGAAAGCGTGGGCGCTTTGTGTCATATTTTTATATCTAGCGCTCGTCGCTTTTTTCACAATAATACTAGTATTTTTCGTTCGTTATTGTTTTAAGCTTATTTAAAAAAAAATTTTCAACTTTTTAGTTCGATGTTCTTCAAAAGCGTGTTTTTTAGTTTTTTTAAAGTATATTTATTGGCTTTATACTTCTTCACCTCTATACAACAAAATGTGGGAAACTTCAGAATGAAGGAAAAAACAATCAATATGAAGGTTTCTACTTTTTTGTGTAGAGGTGAAAAAGTAAAAAGCCTAAAACTTTTTCCTCATGAATGAGACTGTTAATAAGTCGATGAAAAATTTATTTTTTTCACAAAAAATGACTTTCGTTGGTTATTCAAACTGTTAATATATATTCATAAGTTGGTTATATACTGAACTATAGTAGTGAAAACAACATATTCAGTAATTCAACTTCGCAAATGAAATAATTTTTGCAATCAATCTGATCTTTGTACCACATTCCTCTATGATTCATTTCTAGATGTTCAAACTTTTTTCTGACTGTATCAGCATGAATTATTGTATAATTTTTCACTCACAATAGTGATTAAAATTTATTATGAAAGTTTTTCGCTTCCCTTATTCGTTTGATTTACAATTTTTTGAATTTAAAATAAGCCAATTAGAATTGGTCAATACTATTTGTTTTTTAAAGTCAGGGTAGTTGCTGAAAAGTGGCGAAGTGATTATTTCGTCGCTTTTTGTCTCATGATGAAGCATTGTAAGATATTTTCACTTCCATAGTTATACTTGAAAGTAGCAAGATTTTGATGAGTGTCTCAAAGAGTGTATGTATATTTCATGCTTAATTATTACTAATCTCAGTAAATTATGTAATTGTGATGCACTGTTTGGAACCTTTGGTGTAGTAGAAAACACTCCAGTAATATTCACTAAGTAAATAATTATAATAAGATATAAAACGACGAAAAACAGTTATAGAATTTGTGCGTTCAATATGAAACAAAACGCACCCACAAGATTTATCTTTTTTTCAACCATACAATATTTACAAAACCGAAAAACGTGTTTGATACAATAGCTCTCCCAAGGAGAATCCTGCTCAAGGAAGCAGATAATGAAGAAATTCAATCAGGAGTCTGAAAAGACGAAAATATTCATTGTTGGTATGTGTGAAAATGCGTTCATTTCCTGAACTATTGAAAAAATTACCTAGTTGTGATGGAAAATTATTTTAAAAAATTCCATAAACTGCTCACAGGTGCTTTTTGAAAAAAACTAGATTTAAGACTGATCATATATTGATAAACGTACGAAACGTTAAATGAAGTTGAAAATTCACAACGTGTTGAATGTTCGTGAAGTTTTAAAGAGAATTGAAAATAACGTGAAAAAATTGAAATATAAAAACCAGTTTCAATGTCCTTGATGAATGTTGCTATATGTATATAAATTGAAATTCTAATCATCAAATTTGTTTGTGGAAAAGCTACCACACATTATTTTTATGCGAATTGGATTACTGAATTGCTCCCTGTTCTTGTTTACTTACTTATTTTCGATTATTATACAAATGACTGACTTCAGCTTTTTCATTACCGGTTAAAGTGAAATCAAAATAAATTTTATGTTATCGATTCAAGTATCGACCATCTCCATTCAGTATGAAAAACTGACATAGAAATATTCAATATAAATATGTAATTTATGAGCCAATCAATGAATTGAGATGTGGGAAATATAGGGAAAGTAGAAATAGAAATATATGAAATTTTCTGCTAGAGAATACAATTTCAACATTCTCTTCTAATTGATCGAATATACAAAAACTGATGATTGGACTCGACCTGAAATACCAGTATCACATTCAAAAAATTTTGAAGGTCTTTCATTTCAACGTGCAATTTTTCAAATTGATATGTTTCATATCAATCAAATCATAAAAAGATATACTTTAGTTTCATTACTGTATTCGAGTATTCCTGATTTGTATTCCTGGATAACTGAACAGGATATTCATATAGAATCATCTGAAATATTCAACTACATCCAACTGTCATTTAGTTCTCATTCACATAAAACTGTATTTTATTTTATTACTCTCACACTATTTCTAACAGATCATGTCGACAGAAATGAATATTTATATTATTAATACTAGCAAAATGAACCAATTGTTACAATTTTGACGAAAGTGAAAACTATATTACATGAACAACCTTCAAATTGAAATTTTCTCTGAAGTGTGCTATAAAATGGAAAGGATTTTTCAAAAACACAACCCTCACTTACTTTGAGAATGAGAATGTACAAGTGATCGAAATGATAAGTAAATATACTCACAATATTTCTTTCTGCATCTTTATTTTCAAAACAGTGTTTGTTATCGGGATGGTAGTATGAATCATAGTTATCGCAGACTAGGACTGTTTCACCGAGTGAAATAAGGGAAACAAATGATACCAGTGGAACTATCATACTAACAACTTTGAAATATAATGTGAAAACATCAACTTCAAGTCATGCACTTACACTATTCAAATTGTACTTTCCAGGGTTACGACATTTAACCGCATAATTATGATAAAGAAAACAACTTCTTTGTATCGATTTTCATTATTAACGTCAATAAATCACATACGATGGATTCATTTTCACCGTATCACAAAGTAGTATTTCATCGATACTAATGCTAACGCATACAAATTAGAAATTTCAGATTGACATTATATTACATCGTTTGTTTGAAGGTGAATGACAATGTTACATGATGAATTCCATTAGTTATATCCGCTAAATTCAACTCTTGGAATAGCAGGTTCTGATGTTGTACTTGGATCCAATTCTTCTTATTCTTCCCGCTAATTCTCTGATGTATATAGTAAAGTGCAAGTACTGGTTGTGATGACATTTCTTCCTTGCGAGGCTCCTGCTGTCTTTTACCCAAGATCTGTTCCACTGTCGCTTAGGAGTAGCCCTTTCGTAGTCAGGCCACCAAACGCGAACTGCGATTCCAAGAATTACATTAACCGTATACCTACGTGTCGCGATTTTTGTAAAACTCTTCATAGTGAAACCCATACGATAAACTATATTCATCGGTTTCAATATGGATTTCCATCGAATATCGGCTAGTTCTATTCAAAATGCCTATATCGGTGAAACTTAGAGGCCATTGAATGTTCACATTGCTGAGCACAAGAATCACACAGCAAATGAGAAATAGGAGAGCATGTTTGGACCCATCAACATAACATCGAGTGGTCCCAAGCTGCGATCAACAATGTATTCAGCCAAGCTAGCATGGAGATACGCAACATATGGAAACCCATAATCAGGCAAAAAATGGCCAACTCCCGCCAAACGGTCATTTCCCACTAAACTGTTGAAGCGGAAGAAGGAAAGCGGAGATAAGTAAAAGTACTCGAATGACCCATAAATAGTCATGTCTCGGAGGAATTAGTCCAGTCATCATCCGAAGATGATTATAGATACTAATAATCGAAACGTCGTGAAGTAACTTGGAATCTCTTAACTTTTTACTTTTTATTTTTCAATTCAATTGTTCTATTTTAACTTGTATTTTATTTAACTAATATTTCATTTCAGGTGTCTTTGCTTGATATAGTTGTTACTTTCATCTATTGAATTTTACTTCTTCTTTTTATTAGTTATTTCAGGGATTTCAAATCATTTTATATAATATAAGACAATGGAAGTTCGAACTGATGAAATTCATCACATTTCAACATCAATATATGAATTTCTCATTAGGAATATATCAGTTAAATGGAAAATGGAAACAACAGATAGGACTCTATGATATAATTGAAAACAAACATGAAAGATATACGGTATCTGGTTGTTTGTTGAGTTCCACTTATAAAATCACTTACAATGATAATAATAATATTTATTCAATCCTTACAGATATAGCATGATATAAGATACGTCACGAATAGAAATCATGTGATGGTAGACAAATTTACAATCAACGATATCAAAATATCAATATTCAATAGATATTTTATGTAATATGATATGTGGGAGTAGTTCAGAGCTAATATACATTGATGAGTTGATTGGTATTGAACTCATTTTTAATTGCAATATAGTATAAGAACTTGTGTTCACTTTTTTCTCATGGAATCAATACTATTTCCCCAACTCAATTCACTATCTATATAAGTTACAAGGAATCTCGTAACTTCAAAAAGATGAATAGAATTATCAATCCTGAAAATCTCTTGAATACCAGTCACAGATCTCCACCTAGAATGGAAATGGTTACGAACTTTTCTCTTCGTTCACTATCGAAAAATTTCTTTCACATCAATTTATGAATTCTTCTGCTCAATTATTTAGTTAGTTTTGTAAGTCTTTAGGACTATCTGAATCAGTTGCCAATGTAGTACCATCTGCATAGAAAATTACAGAATCTGAACTAATATGGTCAGGTAGATCGTTTATGAATAACTAAAAAGTCAGTGGCCTCAAAGTCGATCTCTGAGGAACTCCCGGGTCCATCTCATAATATTCAGATTTATGGTCTCCAAGTACAACTGATATTTTTGTGAAGCGCATGTATGACATCAGCCATGACAAGAAATTTCCACGATTATCTTCAGGTCAATAATGTCGAATGCTTTCCATAATGCGAAGAAAATAAATACCACATATTTCTTTTCATCTAGCGAGTCGTAGATATATTTGAAAGAATTGTATGAAGCACTTTCGGTCTACTTACCATGACAGAAACCATGCTGATATTTTGACACACCTTCGAAATTTTTTTCCGATTATGCTGGAAATTGTTGTGGGTCGAAAATTACGAATAGCAGAAAAGTCACTTTCCTTGAACATAGGGCAGTTTTGAGAACATCGGGTAAAACCCATGATTGTATGGAGTAATCCTTAATGTGTACTAATGGTTTGGCGATATATTGAGCAATTATTTTTTTTCTTCAAGGACAAAACACAATCCCTACAGGAAATTTCTTAAGGTGCTCTTAGTACGGTGCCTGTGCGAAATTAGTGATTCATATTGGATTTGAACCGCTGGAGATTATTTCCATTTGGAAACACGTTCTCAGAAAGTGTATTCAACATGAACGTCGTTCTTCAAATGAAAGAGTTCTTGAACAGTGAAGTTTGAGGAGTAGTGAGTTGCTCCTCAAAGCGATGAGCAGCCAGTCTGTCGCGTATTTCTGCTGTGTATCGCTCTTGGTGGAATCAAATGTGCCAAGACACTTCAACACTTCCCGTGGAAGTATCTATAGAAGCAAAACAAATGTACAAGCTTTCTTCGATGTTTCAGACTATCCGGCCGGTCGGTAGCCAGGAGATTCGACGTGCGTGGTTTGTTCACTCACTCAAATTGACTGCCTTGTTGATCGGTGGTTCAAGCCCCAGTCTGAACGATCCATTTTCACTTGCTATCGTCCAACCCGTGTTAGAAATCACACTTCAAAAGGTAAGACCTCGTTAATCCTTAGCTTACACAAGTTTTGACTTGTGAGGGTTGTCTTTCGTAGATGTGCGACAGCTGATTAACTGAAAAACAGATTTTAAACAGATTTTAGATCAAGGTTGCAAGTGATGTTCGCGTCTTTAATCAGATGGATGACTCTGTTCTAGATAAAATTCATCCTCTTCGGGGAATGTTTGGGGGCAGATCTTCACACATAAGAACAATACTCCAAAAAAGGTCTGATCTGCTCTTTAAAAACCATCAATAGTTGCTGGGTGTGTTCCAAGCTTTTGAGAAGCAGCCTTTGTTATTCCAGCGACATGACTGTGCCATGACATATGAATATGGAAAAATAGAAATCCTAAAATTTTGATTTTGACATAATCATTAGTTGATGATATTATAAAGAGAATACCATCAACCTTTGTGATACCGGGCCCCAGAAACTAACTACCTGTAGTTCAATTGGGGTACATTCGTATCATTTAAAAAAAAATTAATAAATGCATCTTGTCTCAAATACCTCAAGCATCTCATGCACATTCTGACTGCATTTTTTTAACTAATAAAATCGATATATTGGAAGTTATCGCAAAATATCATTGGGGAAAATGATTCCAATATATAATGCCACATTCGTTATCATTCGAGACGGTTCCGGGATGTTTCAAGATGTTCCAAACTATTCGTGAAGATTTCATAACATTCCAGAATATTCCGGTACGTTCTTAAATGTTGTGTGATAATCTCAAATACTCTTTTCTCCATCCTGCATATCTTCAAAAGTTAGCGATCACGTGAATTAGGAATGAATAACTATCACACCATATAACATCTTTGGCCTTTCCACAATGATCTAATCAATTTGCCCCTAATACACCCAAAAAATGATGACATTTTTTTCAATTCAAAAACCAGGTAAAATGGAATACTTCATTCCTTAAGTGAATTCAAATATAGCACAGATAAAGCAATTTTTTTCTGGTTTTCAGAACTGAATATTCAAACCACTACGCTCGTGGTATTTTGATCGAAATTGCAATCATTATTTGTCTTTCTGACTTCTGAATAATTATGCGTATTCATAGTATTCAGATAAAACAAATTATGAAAATATAATGAACCCTATTCAAACTATCGGTAGACGAAAAGGAAAGAGCGCTAATTAGGAATTTGAACAAGGCAAACAAATCTCTTAAATTGAACTACGGTCTGCTTATATTCCTAAGATTATGGATTCTGTAATAGCACCATTGCCAACTAATTAGGTAAACCAAATGTTGACAAATTCAGAAGTAGGCTATGTTGAAGAAGTTGTTTCGCCAGATTTGCTGTCAATATTCCGGACGCAGATTACTAACACCTGGGCTGAAAAGTCCCAGGCCTAAAAAAGAAAACGCTTTTTTTTTCTTAAACATTGGCTCTATTCATGGAAGTTATCTTCATCAAGAGCCACACAATCATTCCAACGCCACCCTAACATTTTAATACCACTTTTGTAGAACTATTTATTTTTTGTCTCAAAATAAGCATCAGTTTCAGCAATAACCTTTTCATTCGAGCAAAATTTCTCACCGCTGAGAAGTTTTTTGTGGTCTGTGAACTGTCAGTAGTCGCTGCGAGCCAAATTTGGCGAGTATGGTATAGCAAAGCACATTTCATGCAATTTTGCCATCTTTTTTCATTGATTTGTCATACTGCGCATTGACTTGATGAAGCAGCATATTTTTTCTTCAAATGGGGTTGTTTATCAGCAATTTCGGGCTTCAAACGCTCCAATTATGCTATAGAATGATGACTGTTTATGACATTTTCCTTCTTAAGATAGTTCACCAGTTTCTTTCCACTCAGATGACGATCGTTTTGATTCATGTTTCATCCATTGTTAAAGATTGATGCAAAATTTCGGTTCGTTGTGTTCAAACTTGACCAGAATGATAAAGACGTTCTTGTTTTTGGTCAAAAGTGATCTCATCCGGTACTTTGAACAGAGCTTTCTCATAGTCAAATGCTCATATAGTATAAAGTCAATACGTTTTTTCGATAGCATTACAATACCAGATAACTAACGCAACTTCACTTTTCGATCATTCAGAACGATTTTTGGGATTTTATGTACAATATCAAATCAATACAGATTTTATTGAATTTTCATATGCACTACCCCAGGCTATGATTCCGTAGGTCATAATATTGGAAAATATAGGTATTTCTCAGAAGTCTGAACCTATAAAGACATTTTCTTAATTTTTTGTTGATTCAAGTGACTGTTTTTTCCACTTCAGGGAACAATCTATGTAACGTTCAGGGCGTTCTGCATTAACAGTGTCTCTACGACTACGTTTAAAGTCAGCAGAGCAAACTAACGTTCAATTGTTGTTTCTGATGGAACGAAGTCCTTGTAACACTTTTCAAGCCATTGCTTAGCTTGAATGGTATTTTTTCCATTTTCCAAGAAGTAGTGTGAAATAAAAACACGAAATTGTTTTTGATCTAATTGAATTGAATTGTTTTGAAAATAAACAAAAGTATTATCACTCTTAGCAAAATAGCTCACAAACTTATAAGTAGAATATCATGAAATTTCAAAAGCTTCCTTTTGAAGGTTAGTACTTACTGAAAAAGAGGTGGATGCAATAAGACTACCGCCATCTACGTGTTGGAGTCGAGATTTTTCAGTCGATGTAGTATATAATAAAATAAATAACAAAATAAAAGTTGTATGCTGCTGTTTTCCATAGTATTAAGATACACGAATAGAGTAAGAGATCAGATCGAACTTCACATGAAATATCAGTTAAACTTGAGGTTGTTGAAAATATTCAGCTGTTGATTTTTCTTAATTTCATTGCCTTACCAAACAAAACCAAAATTAGGTCCTCCTTATGCGAATAGCAAATTTCCAAATATATTCATTCAAAATAGGGTCTGGTATTTGAATAATCATTTATTCGTCAAGAAATCATTATATTTTGCCAAACTAATTGTAGTATAAGATCATGAAAGACATTATTGGGTCAGTTTTTTACATAACTAATTGTAGAAGTACTATTCAGTTTCAGAATTATTTCCTGAGGAGCAACTACGACAATTCTTTGAGAAAAAAGCCCAATATGCAAAATAAACACCTCTGACATTTTGTATCTTTGGATTTTCAGAAATATGTTTATTCTATTTCATTTCATGAAACACCAAACCGCCACCAAACGACATCTCGACGTGCAAAATAAAACTACGATTGATTTTCATCGATCTGGTAAGAATTATATCTTTTCTCCAATAGAGAGCAGCAGGACGAACACTACGAACAGTTATCATTGTGTATAGATCAGTATACAATGCAAAAATGAAATCATAAATAACGAAGTTTACTAACACGTTGACTGAGAGCGATTATTTCTTTCAATCAATCTTGGTCAGATGGTTTGATGGTCGGCTCTGTGGTCTCTAGTCAAGCCACGATAGATTTTAAAAATGAAATCCTACTGTTGAAAAATATGAGTGTAGTCATTTACGTAATATGTATGTATATTCGAACAGTGTTTTTTCAATAAGTGTACTCTCTAACAAATGTTCTTGTCAAAATTAATTTCTCGTTATTAAAGTAATAATATTTCGGAAATAATATTCAGCAATGCTACTCGGCCTAAAAACGTTTTCAGATAAATGTCAAATATTTCAAATTATTTCATTTTTGAGCAATACTAACCAACGCAACCAGCTATTGATAAAATCACTCCTCCTACAGACTCGTGATTTCATCATGCTGGTGCTCTCTTGGTACTGCTGAAAACAAAGTTTTCGTTGAAAAATAAAATTGTATCTATAAAATTTTGAGGTTTTGGTTAGGGACGTGATAATTATAGGTTAGGTTAGGTCAAAAGTGAGTGGGTCTGTTCGATCCTCCACTGCGACCCCCAACGGTTTATTGTGGCTCACACCTATTCAAACTCGACCAAATTAACCCAGCTTCTTAACAAAGCCAATTAGTTCATATGGTGAGTGGTCTTTCAGGTCAGATGGTAACAGTGTGGCTCTGCCAAACTCTTTGGGCGTGATTCGTTTCGCAGCACGGCCGGCACAAAGTATATGATCTGCTGTTCCAAACTCTGTGATAACAAATATTTGGTTTCAAGCTTCAAAGAGGAATGAACACCTTGTATTGATCCAATCCTGGAAGATTTTGCCAGAAGTCCTAAAATATTCTTGTCATCCAGATATTTAATGTTTGTTATGAAAAACGTGAAGTGATGCCAATGACAGGTTCTGGTCCGATGAAGCTGCTTGTAGCACTTTCGTTTGCAAGGGAGTCAGCAGTTTCATTGCCTTCAATCCAGTGTGGCCAAGAATCCAGATAAGAGACAATTTTTTAAGTTTTCCTTTTGAGGAGATTCAGTTTTGGCAATTTGCTACCAATTTAGACGTTGCTTGGTAGGAGCCAACAACTTTATTGACTTGTTTTTGAGGTTGGATTATACTACTCTTTTCGCACACAATTCAATATCATAGTTTTCCGCTTGAAATACAGTTGCATAGGTCCTTAGGCAGGTTGATATCTTTGTCCTGGGTCTGCAACTGAAAACTCCTGCACCAGAGCCTGAAGGTGTTTTTGATCCATCTGTGAAGCAACAATTATCTGATATTGATATTTTCTTTTTCCGGAGAATATATTCCTCTCTATTCGGGAAAAAACTATATAAGGCAATTCGTAGTTGACAGTTGGGGGCATGATGTCAGAGGTCATTCCCAGAATACTGTGACTTCCAGTATCAACCAGCAGTCTAGTGTACTCTGCATTACATTGATTTGTGCATTTGGCGATATGCACAAGTCTATATGGAGTCCATGTAGCCTCTCTCTCCAGAAAAATATGGAGTGAAGGTAGATCTGGAATGATCTTTATGGCCACGGACGGTGTGGTAATGATGGCACCACAGATAGCCAGACAAGTATGTCTTTGTAAGTCAGTGAGCTTCGCGTGGGTCGTTTTCTGTAAAGCCTTCGACCACTAGGCAATTGCCCCATGGGTGATAATTGGTCTGATGGTCATCACATATATCTTTGGGACCTCAACCCCAAATTTTACCACAAATCCTTTGACATGCCCATAGTGACATTTTGGATTTGTCTAAAACTGTTTCCAAGTGAGTGTGAGCGTTCAAGGTAAGTTTTTCCGTTTCAAATGGAATGACCTCACCATTTAGGAAAAGTGGCGTTGAATTGTCCAATTTTCTCGTCCTGGTGAAATGGATTATCACAGTTTTGCTGGGGTTGAAAGTAGAATTCGGCTGGATGAAAACGTCCGGTCTAGTTTTGGAGATACACGATGTTGAAGTAAAAAGAGTAGTTTTTGCATTGGTGTTTTATGAGAACATTATGTGTATCATAATATCATCGTTTGGCACCAATAGACTATTTTGTCACTTGAATAATTGATGAAAACAATACCATATCAAAGGGTGAGTAAGTAGAATGGAATTTAATTCATCAGTTCATGAAAATCAGTCTATTTGTACTCTGACATGAAAATTGAATATGTAGCATGAAATATGTGGTATATGTGGCATGAATATGGCATGAATATATGTGGTATATGTGGTATATGTGGCATGAATATGTAGTATGAAATTTGTGGCATTCTATTTTCTAATACAGTATTGGTCAAAATTATGGTTGTCTTTCCATTGATAATACGATTGGGAAATTAGAAACTCTATATTTTCATAATAACTATAATAACTTGTAACAAATCAAGTTCAACATTTTCCAGCCATCAATGTTTGAATTGTTTCCAGGAGTGGTGTGTACAATAATGGAATTATATTTTTTCCCTCTAGAAAATTGTTGTAGTTCCATTTATTGTCTTTTACCTTGATTTTACCACAACGAACATTCTCACTCAATTCACTGTAAAGGCGGTCAACATTCTGAAAAAAGATTTTGTATACTGTGAAATGTTTAAAAAATATCTGACGTCAAGATTATTCAAACTAACTTTCCCTTTTTATTAGGGTGACCACACTGTTGATAAATTCAATTGATAGTCTTTCTTACCGGTTTCGTTGCAACCCAATCATTTTCTCCCCAGAACAAGACAACAGGGACCTGGATATTGGACAACTTAAATATCGGTGGAGTGGATTCTCCGTATTTTTTTAAATTCTCGTCTCTACCATAATCATTCGCCATGAATTTATCATATTTCTGGATATCTGCTAGATTATTTGCCAACTCAACGGCAAAGGTGTCATGATTGACCCCACCAACAAAGGGTAGATACGTCTGAAAAAAAAATAGGTTTCATTTTATTGAATTCACATTCGATATCGGTCAAGGAGTTGAATTCAATGGTACATTGGAATCATATTTTTGGAATCAAAAATATTTGAATGTTATGTGTTAGGCTTCGACTTCGATAATTCGACGGTTTCAAATATGCTCTCAGCACAAAATATAGATTTTCAAAATATGCAGGTAGACAGTTAGGTCTAAGTCCTTCCACTGAAACCGTTGGGCTTCATTATGGCTAAGAGATAGACCAAATATATCTGGCTTTTTGACGAAGCTGGTTATATATTTCACAAAATATCAAATCATGAGAGCCTGGATGGGTATGAATTTCCTATAATTTACAAAGGTTGACAGACCACGGTATATTTTCCTCAACCTGAAGGGGCCCTGATGGGCTATCATAATGCAACTTCTTTCGTTATACCACACGAAAGTGTGGCAAATGATCTTCTGTCATGAATTTCAAGATGATTATAATAATAATAGTTCATTAGTTCTTCTGATTATGTCTAGCATAATATAGGACAAGTCAGTATAGTACAGTATCAGATATTGAAAAAAAAAAGATTTACAAGATAAAGTAATATAAAATAGTTTCACAAATTGTGATTGGAATACTTAATAAAGTTATTGCATGTAAAAGGACTCAATATAATACTAATGATGGTTGATTATTTGTTATTGGTGCTTATGACTTTTTCTTACATGTCAGGACAGTTTGTCCACGCGAATTTCGATAATATAAATGAGAGACTTGATTTATAGACATATTACAGATTATAGATCATACATAAAAACATCTAAAAGCAATGAAAAGCAAAGTGGTTTGATGAAATATAAAATATGCATGCATACATGAAATATAAAATCAGTTAAGATCTGTGTCTCCTAGGTACTCACTTATAGAGTAGTTCGCTTTTTTACACGTTTTATATTAGCTTCATCTCGTGTCTGCGCGGGCAGTTATTTGAATTATAGAGTCACAAAAATCAGTTTTTCGCAATTATCTTGGTTTCTGTAGCTCCAATAAAATTGTTGAACCATAAAATCTGCGACATTATTTTTGCATTTTTTCCATACGCCCGATCGTTTTTCGCATATACTCTGTAATGTCACGTCAACAATGATGAAAAAGTAACTTTATTTTATGAACGTGCCTCTTATTTGAATCAAAAATGAAATAGATCGATTCACTGTTCTAATTTGACCAGTTAAACTTGGTACTGCTTTATAATTGATACTTAATACAAATGTTAAATTATAAACTAGGTTATACAATTTTTTTATTGTTTTTGTGAAGAAGAAAGTCGGACCCTACTAACACTCTCAGTGTTGCCAGATCATTTTCATGCTAAGCAGTAGATTTTGTGTCTTAAAACAGTAGATTGATACAAATTAAAGTAGAGAAAGTGACTCACATAATACATATTATTTAATAACGAAGTACATGTTACTCTTCACTATTTTTACTCATTCTGTTGTCATTATAAAAGGATCGGATTGATTAGAAATATTCCACTGTCTATGTGTATTACGGCTACTTTGTGAAAGATTCGATAGATAATTTCGCACACGGCATTGTAAATGATATTGTGATAGATATTGCTGCAATAGTTTTGTTCATACAATCACAAATGTGTTCACATCTTGACAATTGTCATAACCTAAAAACCGAATGTTGACATTTTTAATTTTTTTTTATTCCTCTTTTTTATTCAAATATTTTATCAGTTATTGGATCTAGAGTTATGAATGGTGCAACTAATACGATTTATACGTATTAGGTTATTTGAAAAATCAACTTTCACACACATTTTGGCATCCAGACACCAATTTCAATTCCACATAGACTAAAACACGACACTTTCGCTTCCAGAGACAATGGTGTGATGGATTCCCATGACTTGTAGGATATGGTATTTCGTAAAATATGCAGATAATATTATGAACATTTTCAGAAAATTTAAACTTGATAAATCCAGTCAAATACGGCGAATAGCTGGCAAGTAGAGCGAACTAGTGCCAAATATCAAAACTCGAAAGAGATATCGCCAACAAGAACTAGCTCTGGGAAGACCGATGATCCAGGGTCGATGAGAGTGAATGACCCTGAGTCAGTGATAACCGATGACAACGTCATGGTTTCATTGAGAATGAGATGTGGAGGTGAAAACTTGTTGAAACATTCTGAAACTTCGTATTTTCTTCATATTATATTCAAAAGGAAATTCCAAACTCATACTAACTATTTGTATGTCTCAAAACTATTTTCAATTGTTAGTAATCACACGTTAAAAGGTAAGACCTCGTTAGTCCTTAGCTCGCACAAGTTTCTCAATTTCTGAGAGTTGTCGTTCGTATGGAGGCGACAGCTGATTAACGGAAAAACAGATTTCAAACAGATTTTTAAAGAGATTCAATATGCAACGAAGGACTTATAATGGGAAACCCGTTGAGTCCTTTTTAAGCTATTTTTATGGACAACCGTGAAAATTAAATTCATGATAATCAGTTGAATAACAGTGTCTTATGCTGGTAAGGACATGTGTATGATATCTCAGTTTGTTTTATTTGTGAAGTTAGTCAATTGGGCAAATTTATCGAATTTGTTGATTTCAGGCACCCATCAAATGAATTGCAATTTTCCACAAATCATTGTCATACATAATTTTTTTACACATCTCTATCAACATAAAGTAGCAGCTTTGAATAATGTGATTCACAGTCTATAGAATACTTCACTGCCAGGAAGTGATTTTCAAATAGAACTGAATTCCATTAAACAAATTGCTGTTGACAACGGTTACAAGGTAAATACCCCATTCTTCACAAAAAATGCAAAAACAAGCCATTTATGCCTGATCTATCCCACTTTAGACTATGTCATATATTTGACAATAATATCGCTCAATTTCTGAAAGAGACGTATTAGGACGTGGCTTACCGAAAAAATAATAAATAAAAATAGTTTATTGATACCAGTGAATACAAAACTTCAGTGTCAGATAGATCAGGACCATATTAGTTGACTTGTGGTTCTCGCCAAAAACTTTATTACGGACAACGGGGAAGAACTTTTTCCAATGAATGAAACGTGGAGACCAATTCACATTTGCAAACCATCTTTCGACAGAGGAGCACGAGTTCAATAACGACTATGAATTATTACATTTGGAAGAGGCAGGGTCAAAACTCAAATATTCGGAGTGTTTATAAATCAATAGATTTGAGGGTTCTGGTAATTTATTGAATCTGTTGAATGTGAAAATTGGTGATTAGTTCTTTTCGATGTTAGAAATTTCAGAAATTGGTTCTTGCCTAAACTCAGGTATAGGTATCATTTATTACATAGGTAGAAGGTCACAAGAAATACATTTTTATTTTATAAAACACGAATAAGGCAGAATGCAGTCTCTCTCTCTCTCTCTCTCTCTCCAGATTTTCTTGGCTTTTGCTTCCGTACGGCGCATTTAGCCAGAAGAATGCAGTCAGTATGCAAATGATTGAGGAGGTTATTGTAAAGCAAAAAACGCTTTGTGTTTTGTAGTGAAAATCTAACAATAATGTGTTACTTGAATTTGTTTCCGTTGACAACATGGCGACAAGTGATTCCTCAGATATTTCATCATTTACATCGTTTTTGTTGATTTCCGGGTTTTGCAGTTATCTTTTTTAGTTACAATCTCCAAACTTTCCAACTGCAGTTACGGCAGTCTTTTCAGTAGCGCGGTCGAAGTATTCTTTTTGACATATCAACTGGAAGTTGATACGTCATTTCAAAGTTGTGCTCAAAGTTATTTTGAAGTGGTTGACAATGTTCATTGGTGGATTTTACCAGTTCGGACTTCCTTTGTCTGATATGATTCGAAATCCATGAAAGAACAAATAAAATTAGAAGAATTTGAGGTCTGGAAGAAGCTAACTTGGTTAATCAAGATATAAACCAAATATTTTTTTTTCTGATTGATTCGACCGTTACTTGATGAAGATCCATAGTAATTTCATAAACTACACCTCACGATTTGTTAGCGAAACATGTGCTAGTGCCAAATATCTGGGAAGACCGATGATCCAGGGTCGATGAGAGTGAATGACCCTGAGTCAGTGATAACCGATGACAACGTCATGGTTTCATTGAGAATGAGATGTGGAGGTGAAAACTTGTTGAAACATTCTGAAACTTCGTGAAATAACGCTACCTAATATTATTTTAACAATTCAAAATCAAGTGGTTATGATGTCAAATGATTCAACGAAATATTTTCGCACTCTACAAGAAGTAAAATCTTTTTTGAAGTGATTTTCATCACGAAGACTTTTTTTATATTTGTTTTCGTTATGCGATGGAATTGACCGATAATTGATGAAAATCCATAACTAATTCAAGTAATACTTCATTGTGATATATTCACTGAACAGTTTACAGACAGAATCAATCATGTGAAGAAGAAATGAATAGAGCAAAAATGAATTTCAATGAATTGAGAGGAATATCTTAAATGCCCATCTGAATTACTATGTAGATTTCATCATTTGGAATGTCAAACTCTGGATCGAAAACGTTCGCAGTTGGCAGTTTCATTTATAGATTACAAATAATTCAAAATTACGTTTTTCTCATGGAATACGGAAATCTGATCATATCAGTATAAAATTTAAGGAAACAGGATGGCTCAAATCAGATAACCTTCGAAAACTCCATTTAACGTTTCAACTTCTGGCAAACCAACGTATCTCCTTAATGAACTTATCATGTTTGAAAACCTCAGTATGGGAAACACAAGAAAATATAAAATGCTAGTTATTCCCAAACACTCAAGTACACTGTACCGATATTCTTTTTCATATTCAGCACCCACATTTTATAACACTCTTCCCAAAGAGTTTTGGAACTTCTCTTTATATAATTTCAAGAAAACATTGAAAATCCCACTTCAGTCACTGTAGATTCGCTTTCAAGAAGGATCTGTATATGATAATTTTTATGCTATGGTTACAAATAAGGTGAAAAATATCTTTAAGAAATGTAGGCACCAATCCATTATAATTTTCAAACTTTTATAATTTATAATTATTACACTAGTATAACTTGTTCTGAAATGAGTAGATTAAATATTTTCGAATATTTTTGATTCTATATACGCTTATTTCGAAATATCACTTGCATAGTTTTCTCTGCAAGGTTGGGTTGAAAAGCAGCCTTGGCAGATACTTCACCTTTTGAACACTTGAATATTTTCCTGGAATTTTGTATTTTATTTTTATTATGCTGATGAATGAAGACGATTTTTCTCTTGAAGTATGTAGAGAAGAATCATAACTTCTTGAAGATCATAACGTTACAATATCATTTCGGTGATTTCAAGTGGTACTGATGAATATTTTTGAACAGCCTTTGATTCATAAAATAATACAAAATCAACGAATTTTATACAGAATGGAATTGTTGCACATTCATTTCCACTTACCGGATCCAGCTGTGGATAATTATCTCCAAAGAATGGGACTTTTGTAGTTTCACATAAAATCATCAGGAAGGAATTTCCAGTACAAAAAGCCCTCAGTAGTTTTAAGTCTGGAAAAAGTCCACCATGACCAAATTGATATACCAGTGGCTGAAAATAATTGAGTCTACGAGTGAAACAAATCATAAACAAACGTCTTACAACCAAATGATTGCAAACCAACAATCCGTTGAAATGAATCATTTGATGATTTTAAAAATTTCATAACAGTATTTCATCATGGAAAAAACAAAAAATAGGGGTTAGCTTTTCTGGTGAACGACCTACTCACAACCTAGTGCTAAATGTGGATTTACTCTCCATATCCACAGAAAGTAAGTGATCTTGAAATCCAAAGAACGGAACTGATTTAAAATGATACATAATGATTATGTTCCCCGTGAATACATCAATGAAAATTGACTCGCTATGATATAGTCGAGGTTGAACAACGATTAATGATATCCAAAGTTCATTTTGGTACTGATTTCTTGGAAGAGTAGCGACAACCAACCCTAATAGTTGGCACTGAAAGCTCGAATAGACTAACTTTCGAAAAGTTCCTTTGTTGTAGTCCACGTTTAATAGTTTGAATCCCAACAAAAAAGCACTCTCAAATGAACAAGAGGAAAGCAAGAATTATTGTAGATAGCTTGAGATTCAGTGTTTGGATAGGTTCATTCAATAATATAATAGCCTTTTCTCATTGGAACTCCACCGTTAGGGATCCTGATGGTGTCAAATGATTTATGTAGAACAGAAATTGTTTTTTTTCTTATGACTTCACTCTAAGAAACATCCTCCTATTCAGCAATATTGAATAAAAACACTTTTTGTAACAATTGTCGTGAAAAATTGATATTTCTGATCGAATGATACAAGAATTCTTAAAGTTCAGTTCATGAATATTGAATTTGAATATCTTGCTTTCAGAAAAAGGAATAATTCCATTATAACATGGGAATTATGGATGATTTCGTGTGGACCTTGAAAATGATATGTCTTCTCATGAAACTGCTCCGAGATGTTGCACCCATGCAGAAAATATGTTGATAGCAATTGAATCTGAAAACATTAATATATCACCGAATGGTGGAAGGTATTGAAATAGAAATGAATACTCGTTTCAATCAATAGCTAGTTATTCAATAAGTTTCTCTCATAAAACAGTTGCTACGTAGTTTCGAAACATTTCCGTTTTCTCAGTTTTAGTTGATGACTCGTATGGACGAGTATATGAGTATAAGTTGCTCACTTGGACTTCACATCGCAATTTGAAAGATGAGGTTGATGTTATTATTGTTTCAGTTGAATCAGATGTTATGGTTTTGGCCCTTATCGTTTGTTTGGAAGTCAGTTGAGTGGTAAGTTTCTCTCGAGAGGCCAAAGCTATTTTGGATTTTCAGAACAAAAGGTTCTCACTGTTTTCGAGTCTGGTATGTACTAGAAGTCGAACTAGATAGGTAAGACCCTGTTGGTGGTTCAGTTTCATCTTGGACGTTGGTCCATATAAATAACCTCTTCAGGCACGGTTATGCTTCAAAATTGTATTTTGATGTTCCAAAATCAGTTTTTGCAACTTCAAACTATACTGCAGCTCCGCAGTTATGGATACAAAATGTTTAATTGGATGGTGACCCAGCCCCAGGTCTTGCTGAATATTTATATTTCAAACCGTCGATAGGAACACTCCATTACTCAAATATATTCTACATATTCATTCTGGGTTGTTGAAGATCATCTGTGAACAGTCAGTAGTCGCTGCGAGCCAAATTTGGCGAGTATGGTATAGCAAAGCACATTTCATGCAATTTTGCCATCTTTTTTCATTGATTTATCATACTGCGCATTGGCTTGATGAAGCAGCATATTTTTTCTTCAAATGGGGTTGTTTATCCGCAATTTCGGCCTTGAAACGCTCCAATTACGCTATAGAATGTTGACTGTTTATGGCATTATCCTTCTCAAGATAGTTCACCAGTTTCTTTCCACTCAGATGACGATCGTTTTGATTCATGTTTCATCCATCGTTAAAGATTGATGCAAAATTTCGGTTCGTTGTGTTCAAATTTGACCAGAATGATGAAGACGTTCTTGTTTTTGGTCAAAAGTGATCTCATCTGGCACTTTGAACAGAGCTTTCTCATAGTCATATGCTCATATAATATAAAGTCAACACGTTTTTTCGATAGCATTACAATACCAGATAACTAACGCAACTTCACTTTCCGATTATTCAGAACGATTTTGGGGATTTTATGTACAATATCAAATCAATGTCTATAAATATTGAAAAATTGTTAGTACATGCATACTATTTCAACACAGTCTGCTAAGTGTAAACACTTGTGTTTGACTGGGTTACTTGAAAAATAAAGATTATGATAACTGATATTGTTCATGAAAAAATAAATTGAAATGAAGAAGTATATCAACAATATTATTTCATTATGAACGAGGGTGGAATAAATAATCTGTTGAACTGAATTATTTTGATGTGAGCACATTTTCAATTTTTTTACTATCAACTAATATCCAATTGTGTAATTTTTTCAAATGCTGTTGTTCTCAACTTTTTTGTTTCTCGCGGAATTATACTGTAAATTTCACAGCTAATACCTACTTATGCAGTGTTGTTGCATTGAATGTAGACTACACTTAGCAATTTGAAAGCATTTATTGGTCTTTGATCTTGTATCATACTGATGTTCTATTATGTCAGTATTTATAAAATGTTTTTCATATAGATGGTTTGATTTCGTAACATGTTAGACTGAGATTCAAAATGAAATATTTTCTGAATAAAACTTTCGATGGAAATCTGAGAGGTTTTTTGAAAATTATTTTTAATGCATATTTATGAATAGACTTGACAGATTTTAACGAATTTTCATATGCACCACCCCAGGCTACAACAAAGCCTCAGGTCGGCTAAAGACAAAAAATACCCACTGTCAACAGCAGAGGTATATCGAAAACCACGCACTTGTGAGAAGGTTTACATCGGATCCACCAATTTCAACAGAAAAGAAAAAGTTGTAAACCTCAACCGAATATGGAATCTCATTTTGAGGAGTTCANATTAGTTCATATGGTGAGTGGTCTTTCAGGTCAGATGGTAACAGTGTGGCTCTGCCAAACTCTTTGGGCGTGATTCGTTTCGCAGCACGGCCGGCACAAAGTATATGATCTGCTGTTCCAAACTCTGTGATAACAAATATTTGGTTCCAAGCTTCAAAGAGGAATGAACGCCTTGTATTGATCCAATCCTGGAAGATTTTGCCAGAAGTCCTAAAATATTCTTGTCATCCAGATATTTAATGTTTGTTATGAAAAACGTGAAGTGATGCCAATGACAGGTTCTGGTCCGATGAAGCTGCTTGTAGCACTTTCGTTTGCAAGGGAGTCAGCAGTTTCATTGCCTTCAATCCAGTGTGGCCAAGAATCCAGATAAGAGACAATTTTTTAAGTTTTCCTTTTGAGGAGATTCAGTTTTGACAATTTGCTACCAATTTAGACGTTGCTTGGTAGGAGCCAACAACTTTATTGACTTGTTTATGAGGTTGGATTATACTACTCTCTTCGCACACAATTCAATAGCATAGTTTTCCGCTTGAAATACAGTTGCATAGGTCCTTAGGCAGGTTGATATCTTTGTCCTGGGTCTGCAACTGAAAACTCCTGCACCAGAGCCTGAAGGTGTTTTTGATCCATCTGTGAAGCAACAATTATCTGCTATTAATATTTTTTTTTCCGGAGAATATATTCCTCTCTACTCGGGAAAAAAACTATATAAGGCAATGCGTAGTCGACAGTTGGGGGCATAATGTCAGAGGTCATTCCCAGAATACTGTGACTTCCAGTATCAACCAACAGTCTAGTGTACTCTGCATTACATTGATTTGTGCAATTGGCGATATGCACCATTCTATATGGAGTCCATGTAGCCTCTCTCTCCAGAAAAATATGGGGTGAAGGTAGATCTGGAATGATCTTTATGGCCGCGGACGGTGTGGTAATGATGGCACCACAGATAGCCAGACAAGTATGTCTCTGTAAGTCAGTGAGCTTCGCGTGGGTCGTTTTCTGTAAAGCTTTTGACCACTAGGCAACTGCCCCGTGGGTGATTATTGGTCTGACGGTCATCACATATATCTTTGGGACCTCAACCCCAAATTTTATCACAAATCTTTCGACATGCGCATAGTGACATTTTGGATTTGTCTAAAACTGTTTCCAAGTGAGTGTGAGCGTTCAAGGTAAGTTTTTCCGTTTCAAATGGAATGACCTTACCATTCAGGAAAAGTGGCGTTGAATTGTCCAATTTTCTCTTCCTGGTGAAGGGGATTATCACATTTTTGCTGGGGTTGAAAGTAGAATTCGGCTGGATGAAAACGTCGGTCTAGTTTTGGAGATACACGATGTTGAAGTGAAAAGAGTAGTTTTTGCATTGGTGTTTTATGAGAACATTATGTGTATCATAATATCATCGTTTGGCACCAATAGATTATTTTGTCACTTGAATAATTGATGAAAACAATACCATATCAAAGGGTGAGTAAGTAGAATGAAATTTAATTCATCAGTTCATGAAAATCAGTCTATTTTTACTCTGATATGAAAATTGAATATGTAGCATAGATCACACGGATCACCCTATTCGCGATTGAAATTTGTGGCATTCTATTTTCTAATACAGTATTGGTCAAAATTATGGTTGTCTTTCCATTGATAATACGATTGGGAAATTAAACACGCATTA